AACTCCATCTTTTGAAACTCCCATTGAAGCTGCTGAAATGAAGCTTCTCATTTTGGGTTGCATTTTTTCTGCTGGTCTTACTTAAGATCGTGAATACTTTCTTCGTCTAGTGTTAGTCTGTCATTCTAGCAGCATATACAACATAACACCGTTATTTTGACTTTTATCCTCTTGCATACCATCTTCCTATTACTTATCCATATTCTCAGGAACCTCATTTCCATTTCCAGTTGCATTTGTTGCTTCTAATATGTTTGCTTCACGTTTTGGATCCATACTCATCACCGAAAGCATGTACCGATCGATCACTTGCAAGAGGAGATTTCGAAATAATCGCGGTTTTGATCTTCAAAATTGGCCCCATGTCAATGTTAGTGCTAATTCTCGAAAGCAGGGATTATCTATCACAGATAGACGTAGCTTCGTACTTCTGAATCCACCAGTCGTTGATTTTAGCAGATGGTGTGGCCATGTCTGTTCAATACAACTTGAGTCTTCTATAAGTTGCTTTTCAAACCAGCCTTGACCCTTACATCGCCCAACTTTTGAAATTTTCTATGTAGACTATTACTTTTTTGAGACACTATAAGAATCAACATGGTCTCTACAAGACGCAAGTTGATCAAATATAATTCCGTTATGAATTATCTTTAGCATGTGATTTTCCTAATCGATTGCCTTAAAAACATTTTCTGCGTTTGCACGTGACGAATAACTTTCAGAAGGCTTTCTCTGATTCTGAATCTGTTTGTGTTTCCATGAAATCTTGTACTAGCTATTATGCCCTTTGAACCATTTCGATGAACTCTTTATATGGTTTCAAAATTTTCTGGTTCCTCAAAACATTTAACAAGGATTATATAGACTGAATCGAAAATCTACATTGACGTAGACGGATTCTACACACAAAGAAAGTTGGTATTCTGTGTTTTTCTGGGCCATTTGCCGTATCAGCTGAAGCGGATCTCTCGTACTAAGCCTTTTGCTGCAATATTTCTTATTCATCTGGTTATTACGGTACCTGTTATTGCTCAATCCAGTTCATCAATATCGTCGTGAAGATCTTCTAGATGACTGGCAAGAAACTGATCGACCTTGTCGTCATTCTGTTTCAATTCCTTTCTTATAGCGCAGGAATGCCATAGTTGCTTCAGGGAGTAATGAATACAGTTGCCTGACACAGTAACGCATAGTCTTATGGAAAATTAGATTTTGAACTCGTAAAAGAGTGTTATTCCAAAGAAGCTCGAAAGTTAGTTCTCGAATGAATGTTTTCTAGCCGAGTGTATTTCTGAATTTTACAAGGGCCAAATGATCACTAGTGCTGAGACATTTCACGAACACTCTGGATTTTCAGGCTTGAAGTTGCCCAGTTAATAACAGTTGGCCCATAGGACACTTTCGAAACAAATGAGGTGCCTTAAACGCGCATAATGTGTCGGTGCTTCTGAAGCATAACTAGTTCTTCTACATCAACACTGTTGCAGCACTTCATGAATGATTTTTACAGTATGAATATGATGAATCACGTATAAGTAGAGCCTTTAACATGAGCTGTGAAAGAACTCTGATTGAATTCCACTTACCTAGAAATGATAAATTTCTATTAATCGAATGATTTCATATTCGATCGATTAAAACGAATAGCATACAACGAAATACGGACGGAAAAGATATGGAAATCAAATCGACAGAGTTCAATTATCGACAGCCACCGGACTACGCATACAGGTCGACGTGAATGACTCATCGGTCTCGATAAAAGTCGTGGTGAGGGTGCAGAAAACCTTGAACGGTTGGCGCAGTGATCAGTTTTGTCAAAATGGGGACAGACCGCATCGGGTGACAGGAAACGAGTTACATGTGAGTCATTTGGACTACTTCCGGGGCTTTCAGTCGTGGACTTTGCAACATTTCATCACTTCCATCAAGACACAGAAAATCTGACAATGATTAGCATGATTCATGCATAAAGTTAGCCCTAACCTCACTTGGGCTTATATGTCCGTATCAAAGCAAATGCGCTGCTACAGTACACAGTGACCGTTTATAAAGAACAGTTTTATGCCTTGAACCTCCATGCATAGATTTCGGTTGCTTTCGTGTAAAACTCTGTATAATCCACTCTAGTGAAATCCACCCTGAGACTAGAAAACAGAGAGTTTATACGTTCAGAGCAGCCTCGTTGAATTTATAGCGAAACCGACGACGTTCTCAGAAAGAATACCTTTGAACTTTGAAAACCTTCATGACCATTCAAAACATGAGTTCTGATACTCGCCTGAACGGAGTATGGAGAGGAGTCAAACTACGGACAGTCTTGCTATCGGGCATAGGAAGCTGCTTTCCATTGGCTGCATAATTTAAACATGAATTATTATTGGTGCCAAAAAAGCATATCATACAATATGTGAATCCAGTATCTGTGAATTTATCGCGGACTGCAGGTAATGATCAAAAAATGAGTTCGCCAAGAACTTTATGATTTCTTCAATGCACATCTGTTCAAACAAAATACACCAACCTTTTTGGAATGATTAAGGTTCCTTTGATATTAATGCCTGAAGGAAGCATGGGAATAACCTTCAGTTGCACTTTTTGCCCTATGAAAGAATGATGACTCACAGTGCTATGCCACTGTGCTTCAAACACCTGAATGAAAATTGATCAGCAACATAATTTCGCTTTTCTTCGAGTACACGATTTCCAAAATGGACACTAGTGAACGGATATTTCAGAGGTGCTTCACTTTGAATATCTTCTCACAGCACGTTGTCAGACTCCAACAAGTGATGCCCAAGTGTCCATTTGCAAATGCCAGAGTGGCGGTCTTTCTTACACTATCATGAGATATCAGTTTCAGCATCGTCTTTCCATGAAGCATACTGTGTAATATCTTGTTTTCTTGCCACATAGTGGCACTCATTCACTCACTCATTTATGAACCTCGAAAAGAAGAAGGGTCAGTGCTCTTAATTGTGGATCGAACTCGGTTCCTCTAGTTTCTGAGTTGATGTTAGTAGTGGAGAAAATAGCAAGGTTTCGCTAGACATTTGGCTAGACGTTATTTCAAAGTCATTAATTTCATTAATCAATTAATCGTAGCATTTTCACTCCAGACTGTATCGCATTTAATTTATTGATAGAACATGAATTTTCAGGACTCATTAACTCATTCAGGTTTCTGAATAGTGACGTTCAGTCTCTGTCACTTGAACAAAAGAAACGATTGTCATTTGCTAATTACGCTAGCTAATATACGTCAATGCTAGTTCAGACAGAACGCATGACGACCATAAAGTACTAAAGCATTTGAACAGAACCAGCCAGTGCTTTAGTGTAATGAGGCAAGTGCAGATGAGGTTAGTAGTATAATGAACATAAATTTTTAATGACGCACAGGTGAACTTTGTTCAACGGTGTCCGCGATAACGATTGATCGCGTTTTCCGTGAAATATGTTCCCACTGTTCTAATGCCAACTTAGAGATTTGAAGTCATGCTTTACCCATATCATTTTTTAGTGTAAAATTCTGAGTGAACGCTACAAGCAAGCGTATTTTATTTTGTTTTCTTTCCTGAGCAGCATAGTGATTCGGTATCGATTATGACTGAAAACATTTTCATATTGCATTGTCCATTTACCTCAGTGCATCGAGAATGAAAAATGAGGTTAATAACAGAATGCCATTTGACAGATCTGTAAAGCAGCTGTTATATACATTACTATCTTAACCTACTGCGTAGATACAACAAAATTTTATGTAAAACTTAAATGAGGTACACCCAGCACAGTTAACCGCCTCTTCACAATTTTCATCAGCCTCACACCAGTTTCAATACACCTA